TTTTTCTCGTGGTGGTGTTTCAATCGGGAGTATTTTCTCTAATTCTGCTGAAAAACTGCCTTAAGCAGCCTTGACTCCCCGCTCCCCCTAAGTTCTTCAGCACCGGAAGCCCAGTGGGCACATCCAGGCCCCGGGCTCCCCAGACACCCCGGCTGTGCCCCGCGTTCCCGCAGGCAGCAGGTCTGCTGATAGCGCGGCCAGTGCACAGCTGGGGCGCCCGTTATCCAGACTCCGGAAGCATTTCCCGCCCTGTCCTTCTAGCCTCTGTGAGCGGCTCTTCCGTTCCCGCCAGCCTCAGCCAGCTGCCTGGTTCCAAGCCAGCGCCTCGCGGCTGTGGAGTTTGCTGTGGCAGAATCTAGGGTGCTAAGTCTGTGCGCCTTATCTCTGGTTGCGTCAGGATCTACCCCAGACCTTAGTGATTTGAGAAACCTCCGTGCTTTCTCACGATGGTGGTTCAGGACCACAGACGGACACAGCATGGCTCCTGTCTCCCACCTCCCCAAAGCAGAAGCTGCAAGCTGCCGAGATCTCTTAACATTTAAACCCATGTAGATAGCATCCCTGCCACTTCTGTGGGTGAAGGTGAGCCTCAGGCATCCCCGAGTCAGTGCGGGACGATGTTCGTCGGGGCAGGAGGACCTAAAGCGTGGTGCGTTGGGAGCCATCTTTGGAGACCAGCCACCATGCCGGCTGTGCGGGGAAGTTACAGAAACTCTCTGTGCCTCATTGGCCTCATCTATAAAATGGGGATGATCATAGCAACTACTTACATCAGGTTGTGAACTTCCAGTGGGTTAATACTCATAAGGCTCTTAGAGCAGCCCCTGACTCACAGTGAGCCCAGTATCGTTTTGAAACCGAAAATTTTTTTTAAATTAATATTTATTCATTCTTGAGAGAGAGAGAGAGCGTGAGCAGGGGACGAGCAGAAAGAGGGAGACACAGAATCTGAAGTGGCTCCAGGCTCTGAGCTGTCAGCACAGAGCCCGACGCGGGGCTGGGACTCACAGGCCGTGAGATTGTGACCTGAGCCGAAGTCAGACACTTGACCGACTGAGCCACCCAGGCGTCTGGACACCGAAAATTTTAAACAGATGCATAAGCCACATAAAAGTAAAAAAAAAACACAAAAACAAAAAAACAGTAACTGTGGTTGACGTCTACAGAATGATAGCTGGTCAGTGAGAGGCGGTCTTAGGCAAGAGGTGGCTTTTGCTTGTACAAAAGTGACATCTGAAAGACCAAGTGTGCACCTTGACATTTGCCCGTGCAGCTTCGCCCTGGGTCACACAGCATCAAAGAGACTTGGAATCCTAAGGGCCATGTGCACTGGCTGATGAGGACTGTCCGCTGTGTGTCTCTAGCAGGGAGCCTCCCGGCCTCTGTCATCTCGGCCATGGTTTCGTGTCCTTTAAAAGTTGAAAATGAACTCTGTTTAGGTCTTCCACCTTCTTGGTGCTTCGGTTGACAGTGCGTAAGTTCAGGATGGTGACGCGTAGGAGATGACGTCTGAGGGGCTCAGCCTGATGCAGGGAGGGGCTGCCAGGACCATAGTGTGTTCTCCGTGCCTAGAACTTCGTCCCAAAGGTGCATAGTGGGTTTGCAGTCTTTCTTGGGAGGCTGTGTTCAGAGGAGGGCCCCACCCTGGTAGAACAACTGAAACCTTTTGCTTCTAGAAGAGTCTGGGACTAAGAAAGTCCTGGCGTGTAGGCACGTGGCGGGGTCTGTCACCAGGACTTGTGGTGGCTCTCCGTGGATCCTGCGAGTGAGGGCACCTTGAAAGGGGCCTCCTGTCTCTTGTATCTCCAGGGTCATGAGCCAAGCTCATCCTCACCACCCCCCCCATCCCCACCCGGAAAAAGCCCAGTCCTCGGGCAGCTCCAGCTGTCCAGACCCACGGGCCCCTGGCACAGGGCTGCCCAGGCAGGACCGGGTGACTCTGGACACGTAGCGTGCCAAACAGAAGTCCAGCAGATTCAGGATTGAGTGGTTCAACTTCTGGGGTCTGTTTAGACTCTCTAATGCCCTGATTTTCACTTGGTACAAATGCTCCTTAAAAAAAATCAGTGTTCAGAATTAATGTCAGAAAAAGAACAAAGGAAGAAACCAAAAGAAAACACAATTTTAATCCACAGAAGCTGTTTGCCAAGTCTTGTCACTTGGCCTCCGATCGGGCCTCTGATTACAAGCCCTCACCTCGCGGCCGCCTCGGCTGCTCATCAGAGAGCGCGCGTCTCTGCGAGCCCCTCAGGGTGGCTCTTGCTGCCAGTCTCAGAGGTGGGGTGCAGCGGCCGGCCCCCCTCCTGGCATTCTGCTGGAACTGGAGGCTCGCACACCCTGGGGCTGGTGGGCTCTAACTTGGGGCAGCAGTAGGCGGGGGGCAGGGCAGCCAGGTGGCTCCATCACCGCAGAAATCTTGGGGGTCAGGCAGTGAACCCGGCTGGGGCACATGCCAGAGGGCAGAGGGGCGGCTCCTCGGGCACAGGGGTGCAGGGGGGGGGTCTGCAGCCCTGCTAACTTGGGCAGCATTTGAATCGTGAGTGGAGATGATTACCCCACAAGGTGACCCATAGAATTTATTTAAGATTGTCGAGACGTGCGTTTTCTTTCACCGAGACATTAAGCTCTCCCAGCACCAAGATCAGTCAGCCTGGTGGCGTTCCCTGACGGTCACCTCCGGATTAGACTGTTTCATCCCCTTAGGAGGAGTCCCGACCGCCCTCACTGGGGAGAGGGTGGTTGTGCATGTAGGATCTGCTCAGTCAAGTACCAGAAGCCGGCCGGAAGCCGTGCGGGTCCGCAGGGAGCCCCGGGGTGAGGGTGCAGCCTGCATCTTCGTCTGAGTGGGGAGGGACAGTGCTCTCTGAAGCCCAGAACTGCTCTCAGCCACCGGTGACACCGAGGTGACCCCCGGCCCTTGGTATTGTTCAAATCCATCCTAAATGGATGGTGGAAAAAATGTGAGCCCAAAGGAGAACGTCTGTGAAGTTCTGTTAAGCTGAGGTTAAAAATCTTAGGGGTGCCTGGGGGGCTCCATCAGTTAAGCATCCAGCTTCAGCTCAGGTCATGATCTCACGGTTCATGAGTTTGAGCCCCGCGTCGGGCCCTGTGCTGACAGCTCGGAGCCTGGAGCCTGCTTGGGATTCTGTGTCTCCCCCTCTCTGCCCCTCCCCTGCTCGTGCTCTGTCTCTCTAAAGTAAATAAATACACATTAAAAAAAAAAAAACTTAGAAATCTGCTAGAGGGAAGAATGTAATGATTTTAAGCGATTGCTTGTTCACTGTCAAATCACCAGTGGTGACTGCCCCTCCGCCTGCTTCTTACTGTGCAGCGGGACTTGGTTTGTAACCAGCACTTTCCTCTGGGCCCACTTCCCTTCGTTGATCTCCGTGCCGTATTTGGATTAGGTCGGTTTTTCGTAGATTCTAAGAAATCAAGGTATGTTGAGTTTTGCCGTGTGTTTTCTTCAAATAAGAACTTGCAAAGGAATGACCTTCCAAAAAGCTTCACTTGTGAGTTTCTTCAACCTTAGAAACACTTTCCTCCAGAAACGATATTTAAACGATGGTCAGACCTCCCCAGTGTCCATCGTGTTCGTGAAACTTCATATACAGAGCAGTATTGTCACAGTATTGGTAATTAGTTGGAATGCGAACCTAAGTACCGCATAAAAATGCTTATGTGATTTTTTTCCTGGATTTTCTCTTGCGCTGTGGTTCGGGGGGCGGGAGGGGGGGCCGGTAGCAGAGTTAGGAGGTCAGAGGAGGCAAGTCCAAGTTCCTGAGGAGACTCACAGACGTCTCTGCTTCTATGAGACTCCATTTCACACTCAGACCTTGCCTTCGGCCTCGGTCCGGGTGGATTAATGAGCACAATCCCTGTGCCGTCTCGGTCGTGGTTACCGTGCTATGAGCCCCTAAGCAGGCAGCGAGAGGAGGAGGAAGCCAGAAGACTCTTCTGTCTCCCTTGTCCCACGAGCTCAGGAGCTGAACAGTCCAGATACGGAAGCTCAAGTCGAGACGGTCCGACCAGCGAGGGCGTGAAGCACAAAGTCAAGGCCGCACTCGGTGCCGGCCACCAGTCGTCAACCCCGAACGGCCTAGAGGTGCCGTGGGAGGTTTGCGGGGAACTGGGGGTCCACGCAGCAGTGAGCTCCCTTCCGTCGTCCAGGCAGGCCTTCGTCGGTGTGGTTCAGAGTGTGCTGGCATCAAATTCCCAGTGGTTTTCAAGGAGCCCTCATATGATTTCATTCAAGGTGGATTAATTATACACGATTGATCTATTAAATCCTACTACTAAATTTACAGGTGGAATTTTGTTTTTAATAAATTAAAATCCGAAATGGAAAACTATGAAGTATTCTTATTTGTAGAGATCATAAGTTTCAGAATTCAGTTAATGTGTTCTTTTTAGAAAAGGAAACTTAGGCTTCCTCTTTTATTTTTTTAAACTTTTTTCTGAGAGAGAGAGAGAGAGACAGTGTGAGCAGGGGAGGGTCAGAGAGAGAGGAAGACACAGAATCTGAAGCAGGCTCCAGGCTCTGAGCTGTCAGCACAGAGCCAGACACGGGGCTCGAACCCACGAACTGTGAGATCATGACCTGAGCTGAAGTCGGGTGTTCAACCAACTGAGCCACCCAGGCGCCCCTAAGTTTTCCTCTTTTAAAACGTTATACCTTTAGTTGCATATGCGCCTAGTTATGGGAAGGGTGTGTGGCCCATCACGATGGTTGGTGTCGTATTTGTTGAATCATCTTCAGCACTCAGGAGCTTCACACAGTTCACACACTCACACGAATTGATTGAACATATGTGTTGCGCATTGAAGAGAGGAGAAAAGCCTAATTACCAAGTTAAAAACAAGTGTAAATTCTCCATTTTAAGATGACAAGAGGAATGAATGTTTAAAATGTTTTAAATTATCTGTCTCCTTTTTAAGAAAACTCACACAAGACTGTAATTTATATTTGTGAATTTATCTCGGGCTCCTTTTTCTTACAGGGCATGCTGCTGAAGCGAAGTGGCAAATCTTTGAACAAGGAGTGGAAGAAGAAATACGTCACCCTGTGTGACAACGGCGTGCTGACCTATCACCCGAGTTTACATGTGAGTATGGCCCCTTGGCTCGCTCAGTCAGGAGGTCCAGGGCTCAGATCACACGCTGGGTGTTGGGGGGCGGGGGCTAGGGGTCCTCACAGCATCAGGCCTCTCGCCTCTGCTTCGAGTTAAAGTAGTAAAGGGTCTCCTCCTCCATCTCCAGATAAGTAAAATGCCCTCACTCTGTCCATCAGACCACACGCCTCTCTCTTCCCCTCCCTCATGGCCGATGAAGTGAAATTTTAAATGGAAGTAAAAAGACAGGAGCAGGTAGCAAAAGAGAAAAGAGCCCTTATATTTGAAAATCTAGAATAAAGGAAATGATTGCATTGGAACCCAGGATTCAGCTCCGAGCAGCTGAGAAAACCAGTAAGTTAAGTGCAGCTCATGACTCGGTTGTTACTGTCAGATAAGAGCACCTACCAGTTTGTAAGGTAAGAGAAACTTTTCTACGTGTGTTAGTATAAAGTGCATTATAATGGTGATTTCTAGAAGGTAGATTAAAAAGCAGAATTGATTTTACTTTGGGGAGATAGTGCCGGGCTTCAGAAAGCCTGGCTAATATCTGAAGATGGGGCGTTAATGATATTTCTCTAACACTTGCCAGGAATCTGGCATAATGTTTATCTTGCGTGATGTTTTGAGGGAGGTAGATGTGGACATTAGAATATATAGTGTTACCTGCTCGTTTGATTATATCCTGGTGTTAAGCTTTGCATTGAAATATTATGCGGTTATGAACAAGAAGTCAGCCGTGGGGTATCGAAGAGAATGTAATATCGTTCCCACAGGGCCACCTGGGCAACCGGACAGCTAGCATTTTGGGGTGTGCGCTCCCAGCCATTTCTAGGCATATGTGCTTTTCCTCCCACAGCCGCACGGTCACCCTGTGTCCGCTGCCTGGGGCCCCCTTTCCTGCATAATGACAGACCATATGCACGTCCCCATGTCAGCACCGTCACTCGTGGGTCACCATTGTGGACGGTTACGTGACATGCGTCGCGCGGATGTCCCCTCACAGGGCTAGCAATGTCTCTAAAATGGACGTGTGGCAAACACATTTACTTGGAATTATTTTTGATGTTAGATGTAAAACTCTAATCGATGTCCTTTATTTATCCATTTCCCTCAGACCGATTCCCAGCAATCAGCTTCCTCTTGAAGAGTCTTCCCCTTTCATGGCTTTTGGGTGTATGTTGCGGGACTCCTGGAAAGAGTGTATCAGTTTTTCCCCTCCGGCAATATACCAGAGGGCTTGTACCCTGCATTCGCAGGAGCATTTACCGTGGCAACAATGTATCTATGATCTTCCACTCTGATAAGTAACAGTGACATCCTTATTGTTTAATTTGCTCCCGGGGGTGAATCCTGTCTTCTCCCTTGTCCTACGGCAATGGCTTTACCTTTCAGAAGCACGTTAAAAAACAGGTGTTTCTTTAGGCATCTCTGACTTGTTTCTGATGTCGGAACGCCCCGCATGCTTTGCCCTTCCCAGGACTTGGGAGCTGTGAACTGTTCACTGTACTGGGGAAATTCCCCCTGCACTTGCTTTAGTTTGGCTTCTTTGGGAATAGAGTCAGGTTGCTTCTCAGGAGGCCTGTCTGTGGCCGTTCCCGCCTCTTCTGCAGCCGCTGCCCGCCTGCGTCGGAGCAGCGGGGCGGCACTCGGTCTTCGCCTCCGTCCCCAGCGCTGCCCCATCCGCTGGCTGCCTTCTTCTCCAGGACAGGGGCTCTGACTCTTGCCGCAGCTGCTTTACGTGAGCTAGAGAAGAGTGATCAAAATATTCTTCTCGCCTTGGACTCCCAGACCAGTAAAAAGTGAGGTCTGACCGGTGAGCATTCCAAGCCACCTTACACTCGCCTGCTAAGCCCAGGCTTGGTCAGGGGGATGTTTACTTCTTCTTGCCAAGGGGAAAAAATGTCACATCAGTAGGTCCCGGAAAGTCCCCATAGAAGGGATAACGCGTACGTCCTTCCCATCCAAACCGCTCAGTTAATGTCCTCACGGTTACTTTGAAAATTCTCCGATGGGGGCTTCTCTGTGTTTGCCAATTTCTCTTTTTTTTTTTTTCAATATATATATGTATGCATGGATGTTGTCGGAGTCCAGAAAAGGAGCTCAGCAGGGCTTTGTTTTATAATTACACGGCAAGCAAGAGCCAATGTCGTTTTAAAGTGCAATTCCATTAATGTCGGTCTCCTGGAAACTGAAATTATTGAATCACGTACGCACACCCCCCCAAGGGGGCGGGGCCACCTAGGGCGGGACTTGAATCACTATAGCGGAGAGAAGGCATGGCCTTCCTTGTAAACCTACTCTGATACTGTCACAACCAAGCCTTGGGTGGAAATTCAGATAGCAAGTGAGCTCCAGGTACGAGTTCTCTTGCCACTTGCTAGAGAGCTACAGATCCCTCGCGGTGGAGCTGGTCTGGCATGTTCTGTGGCTCACACTGGGAAGACCCACCAGGGCAATGCCCATGGGCGGAGGCCAGACTTTCTTTAGTGAGACAGTTGGGAGCATGCAGCTGTGTCGCAAATTCAGGTCTTAAAATAGGAGACCATACAGGACGTCCCCGTTATTTTAGTCCAGGGAACGTCAGAAGGTGGTAAAAGCCAATGACGTCAAGTAAACCGATAGCGCCATGACACCCACTCTCTCCAGGCTCCACTACGGCTGGAACCCACGAAGGTGTGTGTGTTGTAAGTGGTTCAGATACTGGAGGAATCTGCCCACATTGGTGGCTCTGGGCTTCATTACCGTTGACCCTCACCCTGTTACTGGTCCCGAGCAGGGCGTCCGCACTGAGCTGGAATAGCAGAGCCCACGGCCCGCATCTCACCAGGGAGCAAAGGAAAAAGAGCCGGCTAAACAATCTGCTGTATTGAGATAGAGTTTCTCATTAGTGGAGGAACTGGGCCAGCTGCTGCTGTGTCCCCCTGACTTTCGATGATTCAGTAATTTATTTACCAAAAAGGAACCTGCCATGTTGTTCTGAGGATGGGCTTCGAGCAAGGCGATGCTTCTGTAATGGGGGGAGCTGTGGGGAGTTGAGGCTCGAGGAGCCCGGAAACGAGTAAGTAACACTCCAGCAGATAGTGGGCGGGGCTGTGCGGCAGCCCCTTCACAGCCAGAGTGTCTGCCGCTCGTGGGCCTCCTCAGGCTGGACCCGGACTCCACCACCAGCCCCCTTCATCTTGGTGATCGTGGTAAACCCAGGGAGCTGGGTGGGGGTCTCGCACACAGAGACAATTGGAGCAGAGTAAGGGACTGAATCAAGTTCAGAGGGAGATAGGCCAGCGTGGTGAGGGCCCTAATCATTTCATTAGAAATTCAAATTGCGAGCGCCTGGGTGGCTTAGACGGTTGCGCGTCTGACTCGATCTCCGTGCAGGTCATGATCTCAGGGTTCGTGAGTTTGAGCCCCGCGTCGGGCTCTGTGCTGATAACGCAGAGGCTGTTTGGGATTCTTTCTCTCTCTCCTTCTCTCTTTGCCCCTCCCCTGCTTGTGCTGTCTGTCTGTCTCCCTCTCTCTCTCTGAAAATAAATAAAGAAAAAAAGGTCAGCTGCCTCGGAGTATTGGCCACCATCAGAGAATCGCCTGTATTGGAGAGCGTGGTCTGTAAGGCTGGCCTCCCCTCCCAGAGGCTGCAGGAGTGGCTCCAGCGTTCATTCGCCAAATCAGATTCCCAGCCGAGCACCCCGGCCAGCACTCCTGGGACAGACAGGCCAGGGCAAGGGTTCCCTGGGACCAGTGCAGTCAGCCGCCCCCTGCAGGCCTCTTCGTGCCTCACTCTTGCCGCCTCCACGCCTCGGCCCCCGCAGCCCCCAGCGGTGCAGATCTCCCCGGACCTCTGCTTGGAGAAGACGCTTGAGCATCAGCGGCTCCTGCGTTAGCTTTGCGGGCGGTCCCTCCTACAGTTGTCAGCAGCAAAGCCAAACTCTTGCAGGTGTTTTTATTTTAAATGTCTTCATCTTAAAGAAGATCTTGGGGCACCTGGGTGGCTCAGTCAGTTGAGTGTCCAACTTCAGCTCAGGTCATGATCTCGCGGTTTGTGGGTTTGAGCCCCGCGTCGGGCTCTGTGCTGACAGCTCAGAGCCTGGAGCCTGCTTCAGATTCTGTGTCTCCCTCTCTCTCTGCCCCTCCCCAACTTGTGTGCTCTTGCGCTCTCTCGCGCTCTCTCTCTCTCTCAAAAATAAAGAAAAAAAGGAAAAGAAGATCTCTCAGAAGAAGTGAGTTGTAATCCTTGAAGGAACGAATAGCGTTTGCTCATAACACCGGTGTCCGTGGAAGTGTTTCTGTAAAGACCACCCTTGGGCTATGAACCCTGAGCTTCAGCCCCCGGCAGATGTCCGGTGCCCGCTGGTGGAGGGCAGACAAAGGCAGCCCCTGGGCGGAACACACTGTCGCTGTGTGGTCCCCGGCTGTGGGCCAGGCTTACAAGGTCCCGGCGGAAAGATGAGCTTTTTGAAACCGTGGCTTTGGACACCGGCTGCCGGTCCTGAGTTGGGAGCCCCTGGCCCTGCGGCCCTCGGTGGGGCTGGCATGAGGCTGACAGGCTCCCGCGTGACTGGAATGGGTCAGCCGCCGGGGACGCTCCCTGAAGCTGAGGACTGCCCGCCTGTCTCGGTGCTCGGCGGGTCAGCCGGGGACCTCCGTGGGCTGGACCCCCACGGTGCCACTTCCTTCCCCCTTCCTTCTCTCCTGTCCTATTCCCAGTCACCTCTTCTTCCAGGCCTCCGTTCTTCCCAGCCTTGTGACATCATCCCGAGAAGGGTCTGTCCACCCTGGGCCCCAGGCTCAGCCCCGCACCCTGACGCGCCGCGTGGCCTCCCTCCGGCTTCCTGTGGTACGGACGCCCCCATCCCAGAGACGGAAGTCGTTGGGAGGAAGCCGTGTTTCTGTGTCTCCTGCCCTTGGAAACCTTAAACATTTCTCAGGGAGGAGAGACCCTCTTGTCCGGAAGCAGATGGAATTGCATATACGTGGCCGGATCATAGGCATCAGTC